GAGGAGCAGTGGAAGGGTCGGTGGAGGAGCAGTGGAAGGGTCGGTGGAGGAGCAGTGGAAGGGTCGGTGGAGGAGCAGTGGAAGGGTCGGTGGAGGACCAGTGGAAGGGTCGGTGGAGGACCAGTGGAAGGGTCGGTGGAGGACCAGTGGAAGGGTCGGTGGAGGACCAGTGGAAGGGTCGGTGGAGGACCAGTGGAAGGGTCAGTGGGGACCAGTGGAAGGGTCAGTGGAGGACCAGTGAAGGGTCAGTGGTTAGTCAGACTTCTAGAGGAAGAAGCTGATCTTGTCCTGGAATTTGGGAAGGGGGTCGCCCCGATCAGTGAAGAAGAAGGTATGAGGGCGGTCCCCGGAGGGACCAGGTGGACACAGATCAGTAGATGATTGTAGGATATTCCGCCATCTTCTCACCGCCCTCCATGTGTATTGTTTCCTCGTTCTTATTGCTTCTGACCAGGAATCACTCAGGAGAAGATCGAGGAGTCTCGGGCCGCCAAAGAGAGGACTATGATGGCTGACATTAAGCAGCTGGTGGAGTCGGGGTCAGAGGTCAATGCTCAGGATGAGTCTGGCACCAGTTTGGTGAGTGATGGCTTCTGGCATCTGCCAATTGCCATCAAACATATAATGTGGTCTATCCAATGAGACCCCCCCCCTGTACAATGCCCCGCCCCCATTGTCCTTTGTGATGCCACGCCCCCTGCTGCCTGTATCATGTGCTCTGTATAATGCTCCGCCCCCACTTTGTGTCATGTGTCCTGTATGATTCCACGTTCCCTTTGTTTGAAGCTGCTCCAAGGACACGAGGTCCAGTTCTGATATCAGAGACACCGGAAGACGGTCATCTCGTGTCTGGGGGCAGATTTAGGTCTTGGTTGGGTTCTGTATTGGAGAGCTGCGCTTTGTAATGGCCTGTGATTGGGTGCTGGGTCAGCGTTCCACCTGCATACACCGATCAGCCAGAACATTCTGACCACCAGCCTAATATTGAGGGGGCCCCCTTCTCCTGACCCGTCCAAGCATGGACCCCACTGGACCTCTGAAGGTGTGCTGTGGTATCTGGATGACCCCCCTCCTAATATTGAGGGGGCCCCCCTTCTCCTGACCTGTCCAAGCATGGACCCCACTGGACCTCTGAAGGTGTGCTGTGGTATCTGGATGACCCCCCTCCTAATATTGAGGGGGCCCCCCTTCTCCTGACCTGTCCAAGCATGGACCCCACTGGACCTCTGAAGGTGTGCTGTGGTATCTGGATGACCCCCCTCCTAATATTGAGGGGGCCCCCCTTCTCCTGACCTGTCCAAGCATGGACCCCACTGGACCTCTGAAGGTGTGCTGTGGTATCTGGATGACCCCCCTCCTAATATTGAGGGGGCCCCCCTTCTCCTGACCTCCCTCTCCTGACCCCGCCAGGCATGGACCCCACTTGACCTCTGAAGGTGTGCTGTGGTATCTGGATGACCCCCCCCCCAATATTGAGGGGGCCCCCCTT